GATTTCTGGTAGCCAATGTTGACATTTGAAATCACCAAAACAAACACGCCCCTACCCCAAAAGCGTCTCGCCCCTACTTTGATAGCTCCGCCCCACACATACATACGCAACCCAGGCAACGATTAGTTCTGTGAAACAAAGCAAAACCAATGTTACACCGTGTCTACACCGGACACGAGTGGTGCGGCGCGACAAAATACTATGCAACTCATTATAATCAGTGATGCTGTCTACACTATAGATATACAGTATATATATATATATATATATATATATATATATATATAGTCTACACTGGATGCAGCACGACGCGACAAATCCCAGACATAAAACTGCTGCTGTTCTATTCATGATGTATTGACAAGATTTTTCAAATAATTTTCAATGGTCGCTAGACAGACTTTAGCTGTTGCGGCGCAGACACGGTGTTACTCTCCTATCGAGAAGAAACAAAGCAACCTCGGCATCCAATCACAGGCCTTCTGCTCCTTGAGTTCTCTCCAGCGCTGGAAAGATGATCCGATATTTACACGGGTCCTACTTCTTGCCTTATGCCTTCTTTTGTTCCGCAGACGTTTTCCTCTTTTGTTTTTTATCCACCATCTCTATCTTTCTGTCGCTCAGCTCGCTAATGTCTGTCATGTGCACTGAACGCTCTCTCCTCCACATCATGTTCACAACACGCCCCTTACTGCTGATTGGCTACAAGTTTGTTTTGCTAGTCGGCTCGAATCAGTTTTCTAAAGCGTTTTTGAAAAATCGCTTACCCCACCTTTAATCGAAACAGTGATGTTTAATTAGTTCTCCTCTAATGATGCATTTTTTATTGTTTCAGTGTCTATTTTGAGCACATAACATGGAAGTTACAACAGCAGCGTGATAAAAAAATACATGCTGGTCAACTTTAACATGACCAAAAATGATACTAAAGTGTGTATGTAAAAACTGTTAAGCTGAAATTAAGATATTGCTGAAGAACCAGTGTTATTTAAATATCATTGAGACACTATGACAGTTTTAATATTTTGAATTAGTTCTTATTTTTATTTTAAAGTTTAGTAATTTTGTTGTTTTTGTCATTTTTAATATATAATAAAATATAATTTATATGTACGTATTAATATTTATTTTTGTTTTAGTTATTTTAGTTCATCAAGATAAACTAAATTGAATGAAGAATGAGGGCATGAGAACTAGCCGAAATAATAATTTTATTTTATTTTATTAGTTAACATCATTTTATTTAAATACTTAAATATAATTTAAAGTCATGAATTTTATTTCAAGTATTTTTTTATTTATTTTTTGTATTATGGTTTTAGTTGTAATTCCAGTTTTATTAGTTAACTATAATAACCATATGAAGGACTGTTTAATTTATCACTTGAGAACATTACACTCTGAACAACATAATGAGTTCAATTATCCAAACTGAATTACCGAAACATTATTTTCAGTTTTGGTTTTCAGCTACATGAAAACTTTAATGTTAGTTTTGTTGTTTCAGTATGGAAAAAAATAATTACTTCAATGCATCACTAAAAGTAAGAGTAATCATTCTCATAAAGACACAGCCAACAGATGCAAAAACAGATGTGGTTAGCATCATTCCTTCATCAAGATAGGAATGTGTGAGTATTAGTGCTGTAAAAGGTCAAGCTTTGATGTGCACGCGCTCGACGCACGCTTTTGAGATTACGGGTGGTGTGGATGTGAGAGAATGGGAGATAAGGAGATGTAAATGTCAAGTGCTCTGCCGAGTGAGGGCTTTGATCCCGACTGGGGTCTGCGTACCTGAGATTACCCTCCTCTTCAGAGCACACACCCCCTCTGCCGTAACCACCAGACCTAAACCATGGTGGTTATAAAATTGCGAGAATGCATCTGCATCTGCAAACATCTGCAATGTCGGGGCAGCTACAATGGAAGTGTAGATTCAAGATAATCGTAATTTGAAGCTGTTAAACTAGTCACGCTACTTTTTGGAAAAAGAAGTTAGCTTCACTACACGCTACAAACAAAAACTATAACATGACACAATGTAAGATTTAATCAAGCTGCATTTTTGCTGACACAAAAACAATGAGGGGTTCTCTCTGAGGATGACAGTGTCGAACTTCAAATGCTATATTTGTACTAAATACAACAGAAACTACATAACCAAGTCAAAAATTATTCAACATACTGTTCATAGACTTGAATGAATTCATCTTTTTTATATCTCTTCATTTACATCATCCCTCCAATGATGAATCATACTTTACAACTCTACATTTGAGAAAAATAACCATTTGAAATAACTCACTAGAATAAATCATACTTTCCCAGTCTACCATGCAAAAGTTTGGGGATTGATTGATTGATTGATTGATTGATTGATTGATTGATTGTTTGATTGACTGACTGACTGATTGATTGAGATTCATCAAAAAAGCATCACATTTTTGCAAAAAAAAAAAAAAACACTACACAACAACTGTTTAAAACATTGATAAGAAAAAAAAATTCTTGAGCACTAAATCAGCATATTAGTATGATTCCTGAAAGATTATGTGACACTAAGGACTGAAGTAATGGCTGCTATAAAATCGTCAAATTACATTTAAAATTAAAATAGAAAACAATGATCTTAATATTTTACAATATTTCTCTATTTTTGATCCGAAAAATGCAGCCTGGTGAGCATAAGACACTTTTTTTTCAAAATCAGTAACCTCAAAAACATCAACCTCAAACTTCTGAGCAATAGTGTAGTTTTGAGACCATTTGTGATTTGTGTTTACTTGTAAAAGTTAACAAAACTCATTTCAGCAGATTTACACATTGAAAATTTACATAATTTTTTTTTAAAAATATTTCTGACTTTTAAAAATATTAAAAACTCTTACAGACACAAAAGTTTTGAACAGTAGTGTACTAGAGAGAAAATCTTAGGTGAGTTAATTATTCTTTCCGACATTAAGTACAGTCATGTACTGTTTGGTGAGGCTACACAGCTACTGGATAAGAAATAATAAATGGCTACCACAAGAGCTACTCTACTTTTAAAGCCACTACAGGAAGACTTACATAAGTGTAACTACTTTTACTTCCCAAAACTGTCCAGCACTCCGAAGCATTCCCTTCTACCTCAAAGGCAGCTCCTCGGCTGGCGGAGAACCCCGAGAAGTATGTTATTTGGAATCTGCCATCTTTCCTCACAGAACTTTTGGGCCCAAACACACATACACTTATCTGACTTAAAGTTCGAAGTGCCCCAAGCAAGAACAGCCTGTACGCTACGGCTCCAAAAAAGCAGCAATAGTATAAAGAATGATCTCTTATTAAGAAAAGAAGACTTTTTAATGAAAAGACAAACCAAAGGTGTCAGGCTGACAGAGATTTTTCAAAAACCTTGTTAAGAACACTTTATTGGAGCATACCAGTGGGGTGGAACAAAGCGAGGGCGGAAGAAGAGCAACTCTTTTTTTTTATTAAATCTGTTCCTAGCCAGAAAGGTGGATATCAAAATAAGCAGAGCCGCTTTAGTTCTCCTCTACAGGGGGATAGAAACCAGGTAAACCCTCCTTTATCTGTCAAACGACAGAGGACACAAAGAGAAAGAGAACAAGAGCTCTGGAATTCTCGAATCAAAGTATCAGCTTGCTCAACCGAGCAAACAATTCAAAGGAATCGTATTGTATATCTTGTTATCTGGAGTTACCACAGGGTGGTCCTTTCTTCTGGCAAAGTTCTACATATTGAAAGGTCTCTTCTTTTCTGGTTAAAGACCCTAAGAAATTAATTCATGTTTTGATGCACTTCCTATTAAAACAGGAAGGGGGTGGGATTTATTGAAGGTCTAGCCAATAAGCTTTAGACCTGCACTAGAGCTGACAATTTGCCATTAAGATAAACGGGAACAAATAGCTTTTTCAGGTATTACAGACATTATTTTAATGCTGAAGATCAACAGTACAGACAGGAGGAGGGACATATTATTTTAGAGAGCATTTGATTAGACAAAAATCTGTGTAGTGCAACATTAGTGTCATCAAAGAGAAGTGTTAACTTTTACAAGTAAACTAGAACACAATAGTCTCAACACTATTGTGCAAAATATTGGTGTTAGCATCGTTTTTAATACAGTTAAAACGGTAAAATTGTGAAATAACATTATGATTCAAAATAGTCGTTTACATTTTATATACCACCATACCACATTTTCAGCAGCCATTATTCAAAGCTTCAATATCACATGATCTATCAGAAATCATTCTAATATGCTGATTTGGTCCTCAAGTAACATTTCTTCTTATTGTTAATGCTGAAAACGAAAACAGTTGTTCTGCTTAATATTTTTTGTGGAAATTGCGATACTTTTTGTCAGAATTCTGAATAGAAATACAATGAATAGAAAGTATTTTGCAACATTATAAATGTCGTCAATGTCACTTATATCAATTTAATCCATCTTTGCTGAATAAAAGTATTTTTTTAACAAAAATCTCACTGACCTCATTTTTAATGAGGTCTTTAAAGACATGTTTTCCTCTATAAAGCTATCAGTCAACCTGATAAAGTCACCATCAGACCACTAATGCAAAAACGGAAAGGAGCCACCACGTTCACATGCACAAACTCTCAACACACATTAGCCGAGTGTCTGACAGGCCAGCTGACAGCTGCATCATTGATCACGCACACGTTTTGTAGAATAACTGCCTCCTCTAACGAGAGTTCCACATCCGGTATGGCAGTCAGCTTTCCTTCACTGAGCCACTCGCCGGCTGCCGAAGAGACACGAATCATTACAGCCATTAATCGCCTTGATGCATGGAATGAAGCAAAAACATATTTTCTTTTCGATTACATTTGGTTATTCACGCGACAGTCTAATATGACTTAAATAAACCTGCAGTTTTCATGTGGAGCTCTTTAACTGAACGTCTACACACTCACTGACAGTATGCAAGGGGGAAAAAGAACGCAGTAGATAACAGAGTTAATATCTCACTCACATGGTAGTACGCAATGGCCTCTCGATCCAGGGCTCGGCTAACTGCCACCTCTCCCGTCAGTCGGTTGATGCTGAACACACCTTTAGGGTCTTGATCTGCTCCCCTTCCTATCAGACGGAAGATGTGGTCTTCCTTCATGTCAGATGAGATCACCTATATCACAGGATAGCACCCAAAATCATATTTTTAATGTACTTGAATAATTTCTTAATGACCTAAATATTACTATTTATTTATCATTCCTTAAAGGGGTCATATGGTGCGATTTAAATTTTTCCTTTCTCTTTGAAGTGTTACCAGCTCTTGGTGCATAAAGAAGATCTGTAAAGTTGCAAAGACTAAAGTCTCAAACCCAAAGAGATATTATTTATAAAAGTTAAGAGTCAACCACGTCTACTTAAAACGGCTCGTTCTAACACGCCCCCACATGTCTACGTCACGATGTGGGAAGATTTGCATAACGCCCCCCAAATGTTCACGCAAAGAAGGCACTGTGTGTTTCGTTGTGAAAGCGAAACTACTTTGTTTGGCCTTCCAAAAGAGGACGATATCTGCTTCGTCATGCCTAGAGCTGATCCGTGCTGGTCGCTGAGGAAATACATCAACTTCACGCTGTGGATCGCCGGATCGGCTTTCACCGTGGATGAAGTGGAGTCCAGACGAGTCCAGACCGGGGTCGTCACATGTGGTTGCCGCAAGCCCGCCGGCCGCTCCTTCGTCCAATCCGTCGGCCGCGCCGTTCTCAAGTCCCCGGCCGTTCCTCACTCTAGCCCACCGTGTGTTTCATTGTGAAAGCGAAACTACTTTGTTTGGTCTTCCAAAAGAGGACATTATTTACAACACTGTTCCAGAACAGTTCAACCCAAATATTCA